CAGTAATAAGACGCGCAGGAATGGTTCAAAGCTGCACCAGGGGATGTTCAGACTGGACAGTAGGAAGCATTTCTTTACTGAGAGGGTTGTCAAAGACTGGAACAGGCTTCCTAGAGAGATGGTTGATGCCCCAAATCTGTCAGCGTTTAAGAGGCATTTGGAAAATGCCCTTAACAACTTGCTTCCACTTTTGATCAGAAAGTATAGTTTATAGCTACTTTCATTCCCTTCTCTGTTCTTGATGCCATCAGATCCAGGAAAAACAACTGTTATTAGTTAGGCAACTGTCATCCCTACTGATCTGGTGGTAGGACTAAAATGTTTACCTACAGTTTACCAGTCTGTCACATTGGGCAGTGACAATGATCTACTAGGATTCTTGGAATCTCATAGCAAACGATTTTGGATGCTCAGAAGTCCCCACACCCCACACCAGTAGCTATAAAAGAATCATGCTGTGCATTTGATGTGTCCTGAAGAATCAGTACCTCTGATCACATAATTAGCACCAGTCTATGTGTGCACAGCCAGTCCTATCAATGTTTGTGAGACTGCAAATTCATTACAGAAAATACAGAGGAAAATTCAAGTGCACACAAAAGGCAGGTACAAGGCTCTTCATTTGACCACCTAAGGTGAGCTTCAGCCCAAAGATAAAGTGAAAGGTTCATTTGTTTATCAAACTGGACCTACTGGCTTTGGACTAAAATCAGCTGGACACACAGAACTTCATTTTACCACTGTACTAGTGTTAAAAAAAATGGTACGTGCTCTTCAGTATTTCATTATGTAGATTGAAATTTCATAGTCAAACCCTGGGCTATGCATAGATTTGTGAAACTGGTATATGGATACAAAACTCCTAACTTTTTAAAGTGGTATAATCTAAAAATACATTCTGTTTAACTGGATTATTATTAATCATTAATCCCTTACACAACTAATCCGTTCTGTGATGAAATTGGCTTTTTTCTTATTTTAATGCTGCACGTTTAAAGCAGTTTTAGTAGAATGTAAGAAGTTTTCTATACATGGTGATTAAATCATCTGTTCTTTTCAAGCGTATCACCTAAAACACATTAGGAAATAGTCTGCATATTCACCCCTGCAGATCACAAAACTACTGTGAATTAAAAAAAAAAAAAAGCAAAATATTTCGGCAAGATTATTTATGGGCACTTTGTAGGCAGATAAAACTTGCTACAGTTTGAATGTATTGCAATTTATAGCATGTTACTTGTTGTTACTTGTTCTGTCATTTAGGTTATGATCCTGGTGACCTTTGCTTTCATGGTTAGACAACTGCGTCAAAGAGTACAGGATATTAAGGATTACTTGTGTGATTAAGAACTTTTTTTCATACAGAGGAATTCAAAAGAACGCATGCAAAATAGAGATAATGAAGTCAAAGGCCTGAGGAGGAAGGCTCTACTTTTCAGAGCTACTGGGCTTTTCTTGTTTTGTTTTTTTTTTTTTCTTTTTTGGCTAGTCAATACAGATTTACTAAACGAAGTATCTATTTCAACTTTCTGCTATTCTCTGGAACAGTTACACTAACACATCAGGACAAATTGTTTCACTTAACTGAATAAACTATGGTCTGTAATCATTTTGTCATTGTTCAGTGACTGTAGGAAAGCTTACGTAAATCAATCCTATAAAGTTCAGTCCTCAAACAAATAAGTAATTGGTACTTAAGAGAAAAGCTCCTGTGAGCAGACATGACATCTGCACAGGATTTGAAGATACGCAAATGAGGAGTCAAAAGTTTGAGGGTTTTCGAAGTATTCTCTGGTCCTGACAAATATACTTACATTTGTCTTGGTCAGCTTCCATCCCTTCACTTTCTGTGTCGCTTGGCAATGTCCAAGGCTGATGAGCAAGCTGAAGCTGTTGTAAGAATTCATCCTGCCACAAACAGATCTATTTTAGATAAAATGACAGAAAATGGATCTATATAAATGCAGATGGTAGCAAACACTGTAGCCTCAATTACCTAGAGAGAAGAAAAATCTTTAATAAAAAAAAATATATCTTGCTGTGAAATAAAACCAGAATCTAGAGGATATGCAGGTTCCCTATATTTTTTTTTATCTAATTCCTGTTTATTTCTCTATTCTGAAAAAAAAAAAAAGTCTCTTTAGCTATCTGTCTGCTATAGCCACATATATATACATATTCATCTTAGAAATGCAGTGGCACAGAACAAAATCTTAATGCAGATAATTCATCTGTCCCTGCAGTTTTTAGACTATGCCTAGACATGTCATGTGCAATTTGCTTAAGTAAGGCTTTGTTTTGTCAGAATTTTCACTGTCTCCAATCTAGTAAAAACAAGGACTTGAAACTTGATTTAGAACCGATGGTTTTATTGGAGAAGGAGAAAGCCTAGGTAGGAAAAATGCTATGGAAACTTCTGTCTCCAAGATACCATAAAACTCTTAAGCATCAAAATACAAATGTTTTATACAGTTAAAAATCCATATGCAGCTGAATATATGCTTTGCAAAGTGTTTTACAGTTGCCTCCTTTTCTATATAATGTATATATGTATGTATATAAAAATATTTTTCCATACACGCACACACACATATGTATGTGAGCACGTACACACACAGACATAAAATACTTTGACAGGTTCCTTTGCAATATTCAAGGTGAGACATGAGAGTGGAACGCGTAATTTTATTTTCAAAAGCAGCTCAAACATGTAAGTCTAGTCTCTAAAACAGAACTTAAGTTCTGTTACATTGGCCAGATATCATAAAATCACTGGCCAGATTCTTATACGTACCGGAAAAAAAGGCAGGTAGTAGCCCTGTCTTCTTTTACACCAGCAGAAAACCAGAATCTACAAATTCGAAGTTAATTTGTACTGCACAGCACTACAGCATAATTTTTATTATTAGGTTATCTGGTTCAAAAACAGAAACCAGGCTTGTGTAAATCGGTTCTTGGAGACTGAAGGCTGTCCAATCGAGTTCTAACTTACTGGGAGTAAATGATTCATTCTGTTAGTAATCTGTTAAAAAAAAATCCACAAACACTGCTGCAATGGCCCGACACTAAGCTCAGGCAGGAGCTCCAGGTCTTATGCATGTGCTCAGTGCTCGAGAAGGTTGCTGACTACAGCACTGAGCTGGGCAAAGTGTTTTGGTTCACAGAGCAGGATTCTTGCAGTAGAAGCGTGTGGCTCTCACACTGATCAGCACAGTTTTCAATCTTCTGAAAACATCACACAAAGAACTGAGCCAGGGAGCAGAACAGAATTAAAGTATCTGACCAAAAAAAAAAAAAAGATACTCATCACATCAAGTTATGCTCTCTACTCCGGTAAGTAGGAGGAGAACTTGTGTTAATCAATGCTATATTCAAATAAGCTGAAATTTCCTGCTGTTTACAATAATGGACCAATAAAGATTACTGATTACCACTTTAAACTATCTGGATAAATAAAGTGATTGCAAAATTCCAAGTGTTCAGAAAATGAGATGGCAACAAGGGAGTCAGTAGTATTTTCATCTCAACAGCTTTTGATAACTATCACAGAATTGTGTCACTTTAATGGAATCCATCCTAAAGAGATAAGCAGGATTTGACATTCCTTTGTCAATTTATATAAAACACCAAAGGATAAGGTAAATGCATAAAAGTATCTCTTCCAAAGGATTTGTAACCCTGATTTATTAGTTTTATAGAGATAATAAAACTGCTTCTCTAGGTAGCATTTCTTTGCTGTAATTCCATTCAGCCTTGAACAGAGCTGATAATAAAACACACCTGTTAGAACTTCGTAATGTTATGTGTGCCAAGAGGCAGAAATTCATCCACAAAATCTCAGATCATTATTAAGTCTTGAGCATTAAAAAAACCCCAAAACATTCTTAACAGCTGATATGTTAAGTACTTGTCAAATTATTTAAGATTTGTGCTCTAACAAGATTAAACCACCTTGAGCTACATCATCTACTTTACTAAAATTAAGAACAATTCTAAATTATATTTATCCATAATCTTTTTGTATTTTAGACTTGTTATGTTACTCTAACACACATTACAAACTAGGAAGTATACATAAGGCATTGGGAGAGATGTTAAAATTCCTGATAAATAAACAAGTGACAGCACACAGTGTAAACCCATGCAGATTCTGAATTCTTTAATTCAAGCTCCTTGTAGTAAAACGTGCTGGTAGCCAGTAATCACATCCTTTTCAACTGACTTTTCTGCTCATATATGTATCAACCTTGTACTGGTTAATTCCATTAACACCACCTAAGAGTAAGGAAGCCGAATTATTTGCAAAATCTTATCATAGTATCTTCTGTAGAATTGGCAATATAACCACAGTGTATTCATATCTAGTGAAAATTCCCAGTTCATACCATAAGGCTAAGAAGAATAAAGGCAATTTCCCTTCTTTTGTTTTACTGTTTTTATACAGGAAGAGGATACAAAACCTACAATGAAAGTTGCAAAACAGTTTACCGTATCAGCCTTGAGTTTTGTAAGTTTGTGATCTGTAAAAGCACAAAGAAAGAACTTTTTTGTTCTTCTCCTACCCCAGGCCACCTTTGACTTTTTAAAATTTGTGTCCATAGTCAGAGAGAAGCTGTGACACAAGAGAATGAAATCACATGGCCACAAATAGGAGGATACCTCTAACATGGCAAAAAATGTCACTGAACAGAGAGGTTTCCTCAGTATGGTCTGTCTAAAACCACTTCTCTAAGTGACCAGGAACTTCGCTGGGAAAGATAGCTTAAAAGAGCTCCCAAGGCTTACAGTATAACACTCCAAAGATGGGCCTGGGAGCGGCAGATTGCCCAGACCTCCATCAGCTGCTTTCTGACATCTGAGGGCCTTTACAGTTTGGCAGATTAAGGTCTTCAGTATTAACATGTCATATTAGCAGTTTTCCCCTTGGAAGCAGAGCTAGTCCCAAGACAAGTTTCCATTAAGTCAAAGGTCACTTGTGCAGGTCAGGAAAGGATAAATAGGGTTTGAGCTGGGTCACTAGCAGCCAACATACCATTGTACTCAGTGAGCAAAGAGAAAGAAAAGAATTTGTCCCATCTAGGAGGGATTATAATAGAGGATAAGATCGTGTGTAGAAATGTTGAGACTTAACACCAGCTTTGCAGTGGGCTTGCTGGATGAAACTGAACATGCTAATCTAACTGTAAAATAGGGTAATAATATTACTAATATCTTAAAGTTCGTGAGACATACATATACACATATAAAAAGTATAACAGGATACTTACTGTAAGAGCTATTGGCAAAGCTTGAGATTTGGCAAACAGAAGTAACAAGTCACAGCAAATTGAACGGGACTCATGGTTAGTATTACTGTAACTACAGAAAGGCTGTGGAAGAAAGCACTTTTAACTGGCTTCCTTCTTACAGGAAATGTCAGAAGTGATGGACGGACTGGAAGTCCCTTGGTGGAGATGCAGTGCTCATGACATGGCACTTTCAGGAGTCTATACAGTAAGTCTAGTTGGCATCACATGACTATGTATCAGTTAAGAACAGGACTACTTAGAAAGAAAAAAAGAAAAAGAGGAGTGAAGTGTTTAGTGGGAAACAATGAAACTCTTCATTTCTTCTGAACATTTTTAGTTAAAAATGAATTAAAATTCTCATTTTCTGGTATGTGAGAAAATTCCAACTCGCGAACACACCTACACCTCAAAACCAGACACAAAGGGGTTTTGTTTGTCAAAAAAAAAAATTTGTTACAATTACATATTTTTTTCCATGTAAAACTTCTGGTTTGAAAATATATCAACTGTTAGTGAAGACACTTTCAACAGAACTGTAGTCATCTTTAGTCTTCATATCTTTAAGTTGGATATCCAATTCTAGGTGAAGAAGTTTGAGTGATGGGATTGGATTAGTGCACTGCCATTCAAACACCAAAATGAGGATTTTTTTCACCACCAAATTTAAGTAAGATTTCCTCCTTTAGTTATTTAGTTTTAGAGTTATCTTAGCCTCTTTTCATTTCTTTCATAATAAATAATGGAGGGCATATGCTTAATTGCAAGATTATACTAAGTATCAAATCTGTAATTTTCCTACAAGGATCTCTAAGCAATACTGTTATGAACAACGTTTTTAATTTTTTTAAAAAGCCATTAGATTTGTAATACGTTGTGTCAAGTGTTATATCAAACAGATTTTTGAAACAAATTATACTTCTCAGAAACAATTATCTAAAGGTATGAGCTTGGAAAAAAAAGCTCTCCAGGCTTTGATAAACGGATTAGAAAGACATTGGTAATAAATAGTGGGAACCCATTTATTCCACTGTTAAAAAATTACTAGTCTAGACACATAGGTCCTTCTGAAGTCAGTATAGAATGATTGGCATTTCCTGAGAAAAATCCACCTTTGTAAGGTATGTATCTGAGATAGACAGCAGGGCTAGTCTTTCACAGGTGCTTTTGTTTTCACTGCCCACCCACTAAAGCTATCTTTAAGGCAGCAAAGGTTAGCAGAGGAGTATTCCACTCAAAATTTACAAGGTACTTAACTTTTTGGTTTTGCTTCGTTTTAAACAGAGACTAATCCTGTAAAAGTCATTGATATGGGACAGGAAGTTTTTATGCTGTGAATCAGCCTATTTAACATGCACATAGTACTAGACAGCGATTCAACCATGTTGGACATTTTCTCACTGCAGTTCAGTTTTGCATTTCAGAAAATTTTTCCATTCAGCGGTGCCTAACTAATCATTCCAATGTGTCCAAAAAATGAAAGAAAAAGCAGACCAAGCAAACATTATGCAGCAGGAAAAACATACCCTGGGATCATAAAGATAAGGTAAAGTTGTGTTTAATATTCCAGAGGTGCGCACCTCTTAGAAACCGTAAGGCTAATGGAACTGCTATGCATCATGCAGGCAAAACCCTACAGAGCTCAAGGAAAATTTAGGGGCACAAGTGTTTCAGTACAATTTCTTTAATAATCCTGACATTCTCTAATCAGTATGTCTCCAAGCTGAGCAGCATTTCTTTGCTAATTTCTCATCATTATATTTCCAGTTCTTTCATAGTAGTAAGTTACATTAGGCAGACTGATGTTACTTCAACATAAAACACAGTCTAGTCTTCACGTTATAGCAGCTCTTAAACATAGCAAAAACATTAAATTGAAAATCTTACTTCTGATAAACTGCTTCTCTGAGTAGTGACAGTTCCAACAATGTCTCCACTCATTTGCACAGAGAGCCCTGAAGCAGTGCTGAGGGTCCTCCCCATTTGGCTCTTAGATGTCAAAGATCTGCTTCTTTGCATACTAATGATGCCTTCCCTGTTTCCTTGGTTGCTAGGGGTAAGAGGCCGTGACAGCAAGCTATTCGGGGTCACAGGTCTGCTCCCTGGAGTTGATGGGGTTGGTGGCCTGTTGGTTTGTGTACTGGGCGTTGGAGACCTACTGTTTACAACACTGGAGACCTGTGTTCTGCTGTTAGAGGGCAGCGGTGGTGATTTGTTTCCTTGGAGCTGAATATTCTTCCCCATCTGAGTTGGCACCTGAGGCCTCGGATTTTGGCTCTGTGTAGCTTGAAGACTGTCTTGATGGTCAGATGTAACTGAACTTTGATGTTGGATGCTAGGGCTTCTTGAGAGCCTTGCTTCTTCCCATAGAGCTAGGTCCTTCTCAATATCTGTGCACACACACACCAACGAAAAAGAAAAGAAAGAAACTCACTTTCTGCTTCTCTCTTGTTGAAAACTCTTACTGATTTTCTCCAATGTAGGTGACAACCTGAAGCTGTGCAGAGAAAATCCTTAAAATATAAGGCATCAGTATTAACAGTTCAAATGTTTAACAAACATTTCCTCAAAGTTTATTTACATTTGATTTACTGCAAACACAGCCATCCTGCAGAAAAGACATATTACCACTTCATTGAACATCAATACAATCTATCAAAATGCCTCTCATTTCTTCAAAGTTATCTCTCTGTGATTTTTGCAGCTTTTCATTAGTATCAAATGAACATGGAGCAGTAAGCTAAACTTGCCATCCTCAGCTGCAGCAAAGGGCAATCCAAAACTGGTTCAAGGTGAGACTTTCGTTTCTGGCCTTGCTGCCTATTGCCCAGTCAAAACTCTGGGGGAAACAACCCTTGCACTCTGGCACATAGGGATCTGTGATCCTATGTAAATCGGATTTTGTGCTCTGGCCTGTCGTCAGTGCCACAGTAGGTGACGGGGTCACCAACATCTAGAATCCAAGGAGAAAAGGTGGCCACCACTTGATGGTCCAGTCCCTACCTCTCATACAGCCATAAGGAATAAGATCCTCTTTAAAACCAGAACAGATCAGGAGTAGTGATGAAACATGTCTTCTAATATCATTTAAATCATATTAATGTTCTAATGAAACAGAAACATCCAACAAAGTTAGGTGAGGGTAGCTGGAATTTAGGTTAGCATTGCTAACATTCCTTGCAAGTGAAAATGTCAAGCTTAAGGAACAGTTTACTCAAGTTTACTTTATCTTACACAATCGTTATGCATTTTCATTCTCACTGACATGTACTCTAGTGTAACTGGGTTTTGATAGGGACAGCTGGTTGTCTTTAGAAAAGCAATGCCAGTTCTCATTAAACTGTACAAGTCACAGTCCCAGAAGCTGTAAATCAGCAATGCTCTACTGGTTTAAACACTTATTAAGTGAACTTATTTAAATTAAGTATTTCATTTTTATTTTGATAACAATAATTTCAGGTTCTAAAAGTCCTGAAAGAAACAGATTCTGAACTGCATATTGGAAAATCAGATTTTATTTCACTTGTGTTTACCCATAGGTATAAAAAGAATGCTCTATGTAAAATAATTAAAGATGTGTTGCCTTTAACATTAACTTCTTTTATAATAACACCTTGTAAACAGAATAACAAGCTACATCAATATCATGTTACTAGTCTAATACAAGATATTCCACACATTTCAAATGTCATTACTAGAAAAGCTCAGTAAAACTGAAATAGTCGTGAAAGCCTCAGATAAAAGTGTCTCTCAACTCTTTAAAGATTAAATGTTTTGCTGTTAGAAAATTTCAAAACATATTTTCTTCTAGCACAGAGTTAAGAATATTTCTAATTGCTACCTTGCTGACCCCTTAAAATTAATTGTTTTCATTTTGAAATAATTGTGCCTTGAACCACCTTTCCATTATGCTTTTTAAAAAAATCAGCACACATCACTTTGGAACTTTTAAGATACCTGGTTGAAATTCAGGGGCCTATAAATGACAATGTGGTGATTTAAACCAAATGAGTAATATGTTCTTTTAGAGATTTAGTCTATGTCTTTGCAAAATTGAAGACCTCTATCTTCCTCATGATGACTCAGAATACTAAGAAATTATCTGAATATTGAATGATTTAATAAGAGTTAAATAAACATTTTATTCTGGCTCATGTTTCCTTAATTCCATATAGTAAGCAAGCCTGCAGATAAACCAATTATCCTAGTCATTTCTCCACATATAATTAGCATGTTTCCATAGTGTAATTATTCAGTTTTATTTAGCACACATCCTCTTTTTGATTTTGCTTCAATATCAGCTTTTCAACTAGAAAGAAAAGAAGAAAAAAATAAATCACACATCTGCAGCTGTAAAATCCCTCGTCAATGCCTTTTAAAGGAAAACATAATACAGGCAACAGAGTAACACAAAGGCATTTTATGCTCATATCAGAAATACTAGAATAAGGATATGATTCATAATGCACTTGCAAACCGTTTATGCATTTAACAGTTCTTCTTGTGATAAAATTTATTCCAGAGGTATCCAGTGACCACAGAATCAGTGTAACAAACCAAATTGGCAAGATACTGGAATTAACTACCAAAAAAAAACCGTTCTCCACTTGCATGTGATATAAATCAGCTACAGCAACACAAGAGACTGGATCTTTGACAAAAGTATTACTGAGCCACATATAGAGAAGGAACAGAAAACTGATTGCTTTCATATCTGATTGTGTAAAAACGCTGCTTTCAAATATCACGTACTGAGGCAGTTGGTGCTAGTCCCTAGTTTCGGCACAGACACCAAAATGTGCCTTATGTTAGGAGTGAATTTTATCCAGCACGTAGCCCATAAGATAAAGCCAGGCTCCTAAAGAAGGTGTATCTGAGACAGGAGACCACATTTCATCATTACACAGGTAATCCAAGTCATTATTCATACGTTTAAATGACTGCCTAGTATTGGATAGAATTAATATGTTCCAGTGTGCTTGGTAAGAGAACTGAAATAAGGAGACTTCCTGATATCAGAAACACTTGAACTTTTGCAAATGTATGAGACAAATAAGGCTAAGCAAACCCACAGCATTATTATCTGAGGTCCTTTGAGATGGTTCTTCAAGGAAATTACTTTATTCTTGTCTATGAGGGGAATAATTGTCTCGAGCAGCGCTAGTGTCATAATAGGACATGAATTATTAAGAATACAAGAGTTACATGTCTAATAATTGGGCTGTTTTCTTGTGAATTTCTCAGGCAGACAAAAATTACTGAATGGTAGAACTGAACCCCGTGTTACAGCGTTACTGAAATGATGGGCCCAAAGCCAAATGACAACAACAGCATTGATGAGCAAGAAGACCTTGTAGGTCACACAAACAGCAGACTGAATCTCAGAGACTAAGTGAATGTAGCTAGTCAGCTTACGGTCAATTAAGTATTTAAAATTCCATATCCTATTCAATATGGTAGTTATTACTGTCAGCTTCGTCAAGGGACATCTAAAGGAACTGCATGTTTCAGAGCATACTGCATACAAGAACAGCTTGTACATGGAAGTGTGACCAGTTAGGACATAAATCAAAGTAGGGTGATCTTCACCAGACCCCTCGTGAGTGACAACTGCAGCAACACATGGGAAGGTGAGGGCTACCTCAGTAGCAGAGGCCTCTAGGGTACTCAGGCCCCTGCTATGCCACAGAAATCTGATGACCACAGCTCAGCCTGCTGGCTTCCTGGAGCCTACTAGATGCTCCTGGCAGTTTCAGCTTGGATAGAGGGCTAGCTACAGTGACTTGGACCTGTCAAACAAAATTGAATTATATTATCTCAGTTGTTAGAAACGGATATCTCCTAAAATTTTTTCACCTGTAGATATCATAATTTTTAGTTCTTGTTCTATTCTAAGCAAGAACTTTTTCTAAAGTGCTTCCCTCATTGTGCCCATAGCTTTGTCTTCTGCTTTCACTTCAGCTGTGACAGCCCCTAGATGGAATCACAGAATCATATCATAGCATGGTTTGGGTTGGAAGGGACCTTAAAGATCGTCTAGTTCCAACTCCCCTGCCATGGGCAGGGACACCCTTCACTATACCAGGTTGCTCAAAGCCTCATCCAACCTGGCCTTGAACACTTCCAGGGATGGGGCACCTACAACTTCTCTAGGCAACCTGTTCCAGTGCCTCATCACCCTCTGAGTGAAGAATTTCTTCCTTATATCTAATCTAAATCTGCCCTCTTTCAGTTTAAAACCATTGCCCCTTGTCCTATCACTACACGCCCTTGTAAAAAGTCCCTCTCCAGCTTTCCTGTAGGCCCCCTTTAAGTACTAAGATCATCCCAGAGCCTTCTCTTCTCCAGACTCAACAGCCCCAACTCTCTCAGCCTGTCTTCATAGCAGAGGTGCTCCAGCCCTCGGATCATCTTCGTGGCCCTCCTCTGGACTTGCTCCAGCAGCTCCATGTCTTTCTTGTGTTGGGGACTCCAGAGCTGAATGCAGTATTCCAGGTGGGGTCTCACAAGAGCAGAGTAGAGGGGCAGAATCACCTCCCTCGACCTGCTGGCCACGCTCCTTTTGATGCAGCCCAGGATACGGTTGGCTTTCTGGGCTGCCAGCGCACATTGCCGGCTCATGTTGAGCTTCTCATTTACCAGCACTCCCAAGTCCTTTTCCTCAGGACTGCTCTTAATCCATTGTCCACCCAGCCTGTACATACAACAACTGTACCTCTCTCTAAAGAGGATACAGATCCCAAGCCTTCCACATCAGTATTATAGACAGGTTAAATGTCTGAAGTCTTTTAGAAAATCATACTGCAAGTGCTAAGTTCTCTCCCTCACTCTGAATTACTTGAATAGAGGGTCAGATAAATTTCATTTCTCCCTCCACCTTACATACACAGTCTTTATGTTCCAGTTCTGCATTACTTTTCATAGAATTCGTCCATGAAGCTCAGCTTTCACCATATGACAAATAGCGTGCATAACATATAGGACTACTCTGCTATAGGTCTATGTCACATCTTATAATTAAAGCTGAAAAGGAGAAAATATTAATTACAAAGAACAAAAAATTGCAAATGATATCCTAGGAGATCCCTCATTAAATTGTATAGACCTCTGAAACATTTTCACTGGGAAAAAAAGGAGTTTTGGTTTGACCTTCTAGAAATGGTTACTCCACCAAAGATATCACAGATGCCCACTGCACACAAGTTAACAGACTTCACTTAGACAGAAGTCTCATGAACAAGGTGGACTTTTCCTGCAAAGCAATCTATTCTGCAGCTAAAGGTCCACAGCAGCCTTTTCTAAAGACTACTTAAGGGTAGGTGAAGCATCAGTACCTCCTTATTGCATAAGTCTTGGTGAAACGTGAAAATCAAAAAAAGGTGTGTTACTGTCAGACTGTAGTATATTTAATTATTGTTTAATTACTGTTTTATTACTGTTTCATTACTGTATTTACTGTAATTACAGCAAAGTCTATTACATCTACGAACAAAAATAATTGTTTTGTTTCTCTTCAATGAAGAAAACTGGAAATTCAAGTTTTTTATGCGTTTTCATCAGCATTTCATCAGACCATATTTTCCTTTGTCTAAAATATTGGCAGAGCTAGCTGGGGGAGTAGTGCTAAGCATTTTATGATCCCTTGCTACCATACATACCAGCTAGGTGTTTTTCCATGGTCTGAAGTTCTTTTGCTGCTAAGGAGTCCTTTAAGAGTTTCTGTCTTGGTGAACCTCCAGGTCTGACACTCGTGGCATCCAGGGTCCAAACTGTCTGAGACTTACACAGATAAAATGCAGAGGGATTACTTTTAATCTAGTTTCACGTTTACACACAGAACAATAAAAAAATTGATGTCCTCATTTAGAATAGTGTATCTGGTGCTTTTTTTTTGTAGAATATTTAACACTTTATGCAAAATATTACAAAAGATCATGTCTTACCTTAAACAACATAAATACTAGGCATTACTTAAAATCAACAGTTCTAAAGCAATTCGAATATATACCTTTACACAAGCTCTTGTTCCATGCTGAGACATCATAACAGGACAAATTCTTCAATGATTTACACTCTATGCAGTTCCAGTGACTTAGTAGGGGTTGCACTTACTTTAAATTACTATAACATTTGGCACCGTATCTCTGCAAAGCAGCACTTCTGGGAATATCACAGAGTTTCCTAATCAAAATTGCCAGAGCTGTTTTATCACTGCAAGAAGCATTCCTTTCAGGAACAGCAACTAAATCATCAGGGCAACACAGCAGTTTGGAAGAGATGCTGGCAAACAGACCACCTCCTCAGACACCTCACTAGTGAACGCTGTGATATTCAAAATTTTCTGCATTTTCTTGAACCCACTCCATACTGTTTCAAGAAATTATTTTAATATAGACTTGATAAGTTTTTTAATTCTTATCTAAAAAGTCCCAAAAACGTATGATCAAGTGTGCAAGACTTAGTCATAAAAACAACAAACAAAAATGTTAATTAAAGCGTTCTTAATAGCTTATCTGAAATAAATTTTACATTATTACCTCACCAAAACATTTCACCTGTAGTCTAGAGGGTTTTGTTGATTTCCCAGGTTTCCTAAAGAAACAAGGCTTATGCAATGGTCTCGTTGTCATTCACCTCTTACTAATTTTTTTAAGCTTTCCGTAGATGTCAGACGAGTTTAGAGAGAGGCCACGGTTTCTAAGACATTAAGCTGAGTAATTTCAGGGAGAAGAATGGGCAGAGAAGGGAGACCCAAACTGGTGACACTGTTCATGGAAGGCACACAGGGCTCTGCTGCTACACAGTCCACTAGCTTGGAACTACGACCAGCAAAGATGCGGGTTGCTGCAGACAGCAGCAGCACCTGATGGTACTTTTCTGGCTGGACTTTCATGAGATAGGGAAAGGTGTACCGCGGTTCAAAGGATAAACATGAAAACACCTGTTTGATATTATCTCTATTCACAAACAATTTGCTTTAACCATAAACACTAAATAAAACGCTGTAGCTGCCTTCCTTTTTAGAAAAGAAAGCATAATTCTACAGAAGTCAAATGTTATATGGGGCATACTTTACACCATTTTTCATCTGTTCCAAAGAAACAACGTCTTGTATGCAACCTACCATTGTGAACCATGTATCTCTGAAATATGTTAACACCAATTCATTTTTATGAAGCAACAGCTATTCTGAAATTCTGCACACGCATACATAAAAAAGCCCAGTTGCGTTTACCACCACACAAAATAGTTCAAAGCTGCAGGTAATTCTATTGTTATTAACTCACAACGGTTCTAGGAAGCTAATGACATTTTTTGATTTCCCAATTTTTTTTTTACACTAGTTCTGCTCTCGTTAAAGTTAACCGTATATCATCTGAGGTAAATACACAGGAACAGCAGAATAAAATGGTGAGTTACTCAGAAGTGAAACTGATTCTGCAAACACATTTATTTTAGACATATCACTAGACCTGATTCACCTGTTCCCCCAAGAGATTTTGAGCATTTGTTACTTCAGTCCTCATTGTGAATTCTCCATCCAAATAATAATCTGTCTTGTTGAGGTCACTACAGAATATTAATCTGTATTAAATTTCTCTCATTTCTAAATGTGTATTTCTAATAGATATTAGTTATCCAATATCTATCTCTAGGTACTATAGTCTGTGAACAATTCCGCTGAAATACATGAAACTAAATAAGAGATGGGAAGGGGAAATAGAGCCTGTAACAAAACAATCTGTTTTTAGATATATTCTTGTCCCTAGATTTTTATGGAGGAAAAAGGTCCTTTTTATTTACATTGTATAGTGTATCTTTCCATAAGGGGAAAAAACCAGCAGGACTTCAGTAATGACTATGGGGGGAAAAAATCCCCAAGGTTCTAAGGATGAATCCTTTTTGAATATACCATTTCACGCACAAATACAACTCTGATGAAATACGGTCTGTGACACTACTTGACAACCAAACAGCTCTTCTAATATTCTTGACACTGACTCTTCAAGTTTATCATACACACATTATTATGGGTTTTCAATAGCTCTCTATCCTCCTAAAAACACACACTTCCAAGCGTTAGCCTGGTGAAAGGGTTTCACTCTCCATCTCCTATTTTCTGGAAACGAAATGTAGTTATCTTTCTTTTCTACAAACCTCTACTGTTTCTTCTTACATTCTGCCTTTTCCTCTACTGTACTTTACTTTACTTTTCCTTTATGCACAGCAATAATGTAAGACACATACAACTAAGGTCACTGTCTGACTAAAGGCAGCTCCCTAATGCCTCTAGTAGAATCCAAGATAAATGGAGAAAAATGATTCTTTAATGGCAGACATCATGATAGTGCTTTACAAATGTATGGAAAGATGAGTAATGTTTAAATTGAATCACTTGCAATTAGGAGACTCCAAATCACAAAGATCATCAAATATCAGCTCCGGCAGGGGGGTGGGACTAAGTGTTCCTTTGAGGTCCCTTCCAATCCCTAACATTCTGTGATTCTGTGATACTTTTGAATGTTTCAATATAGGTTTTAAAATCTCGTGTAAGTTCACATGAGACATACAGATATGCCTGTGTATAAGCATATAGAGGCACACAAAGTCAGGTACACACACACATTTCATAAATATTTGTGTCTACTTTCATCCGGTTAACACACAGCCACAACGACATACAGAGTTTGTGTCCAGTTGTGGATGTAGCACAGATGTATATATTCTTTCTAAGAATAAATATTAATCTTGTATATTATTTAAAACAAATACGCTTACATATATTCAGTCTCTACCATTACATATTGTTATATTTTCAAACTCCCTTTCAGATATACAGTTCGAACACCTTGTGAAAATGATGATGTAACCTCGGATGAATTTTTTCTCCAAATTTTGTAACTCTTCCTGTGAATTTTTCCGTTCTATATAATATTGCAATCTTATGGCGTTTTGTTCGGCAATAGCTTCACAAAATACCTGAACAGTATTGCAATACTAGTTATGGAAGTTGAGATATTTAATATTAGCAATTTAATTTCATGATAAATTATGTGCTTATAATAGTGCCCTTTAATTAAACACTCACATGACATAAAATAATAATGATCTCAAAAAAAAAGGTATAAGAGTTTATTAAGACATTAAAATGGTAGCATAACTATTTTTTGTTCCTTCTCTGAGGTTAGATATTACAAGGTTATAACCAACAACATTTCTGGAGGCAGGCTCAGGTAATGTTTTTTTTTTCTATAGATCTAAAGCATACAGAATATAAAAATAATTTTTAACATTTTGAGACTACAAGTTCATCTAAGCGAAAAATGCATAAACACAGACAGGTTCTCAGTGTCTCCAGCACACGATTTGTGCAATAGTCTTATTACTAAAAGATGAACACAAACTGGAAGTAAGGGATGTCATCAAGGAGGCTTTGGAAGCATGTCAGGTCAAATGCAAGGATAAATGAAGTTGTATAGCTCTAGCAGAATTCTCTGGCACCCTTTCTCTCCACTGGATGAGTGGCACCAGTTCAGATATGTCACTTAAGAAAGAGATTCAGGCTTGCAAGCCATTTATTTAAACCTTTTTATTCCGCTTCACCAAAAACTGTCCTTTGTTTATTGGCCAGGGATTGCAGAGATAAAACGCTAATGTCAGTTAACTTAGACTTTAATGATAATGACAATACACTGAAAGTAGTTGAAATATATAGCATACATGAATGAAGGATATGCATAGAAGTAGTCCTTTCAATTCCTTCAGCGTCTTCCAAACTACAATTGCCCTTGATGGTTCATTAAGCTCTATAAATATTAGCACACAATTTATAAATAGCCTATTTATATTAACAAGATTAACAACATCTAAAAATGAGGATGTTCTTGAAAGACATCCTTGTCTTTCTAATATATAAAAACAGCTTTGGGCCCTGTTCATCACCTTCAAACTTTGAAGTTGAAGCAATGTCTCTTTGTGCCAGAAATATGTTCAAAGAAAGCCCTCAGGACACATTTGTCACCTTTTAAGGCCAGCTATGTGTCCGTTTCTTAAGTGGCTTTCTTTACATATCATCATAATTTCTTCACATATTTTTTACACATTCATTAATTCTTTCTTTACTTAGATCACTTTTAGCCAAATTACTGCTAAAAAAAATTACAAACAATAAAGCCAAAGGTAATATCTCTCATCACTGGTTCCCCAAACTTCTGGAAAATACTATAATGTACTAGCAATGCCACAGTGGAACACAAATACTACTAAGGAGGTCACGAATAAGAATAAGAAAATTTTTCCAGGATCACTATACGTTCTTCAATGTGCAGCAGAATGTTAGTTTGACAGCATACATCAGTATTGCTTTTATCCCTAGATAAAACAGTGCAGATGTGAAAGTCTTGCTCTTACCATCAAGCTGACTTGACATGGGCTGTGTAATACCCACTGACACCTGGGGAATTCTACAGAGATGCAGCATTTCAGAATAGGTAAGGCCAAGAGGAAGGCCTCCAAATCACCTAGAGCTTCATCTGGAAATCAAGTGCTTGTTAGAAAATAAATTACTCTTTCTTGCTGACCGTAAAAAGTGTTAATAAACAATGCAGCATTACACTTCTATGTCATTTTGGCCTGCTTCAGAGTAAACCACCCGGATACTCACATGCACGTCCATGTACACACACACATTCACTTTTGACATGTGGGAACAGTCCCCAACTCACAAGTGAAAGCTCTTCATCATTTTTAAAGACTATCTGAACTGCATGATCACAAGG